TGCAAACACCCAATATCGCTCGCGCGGCTGCATTCTGGACCAACTGCAGTCTTCGAACACTCTTCAGGGGCAGCCCCATGTAGAGAGCACTTCCTCTTTCAGTTTTTCTCAACAACCCCGCGAAGAAGGTCGGTTTGAGAGAGCGTGACTAGACATAGGTCACCCAGTGTGTTTGCAAGGACTTCAGCCTGCCTTTTCCCAACCCTGGTCTAACTACTTAAACCACCATACAGGTAGTCCTCGGCTTACGACCACAATTGAACCCAAAATTTCTGTGGCTAAGCGAGACAATTGAATGAGTTTTGCCGCATTTTATGGCTTTCTTGCCACCGTTGTTGAGTGGATCACTGCTGTTGTTAAGTTAGTAACATGGTTGTTACGTGAATCTTTGACTTTGGTTGTCGGAAGGTCGCAAAAGTGGATCACGTGATCCCGGGAGGCTGCAACCGTCATAAATATGAATCAGTTGCAAAGCTTCTGAAATGTTGTTCGCGCGACCACAGGGATGCTGATATGGTCGTAAGTGTGAAAAGCGGTCATAAGTTTCACTTTTTTCAGTGCTGTTGCAACCGAATGGTCACTAAAAATGAATTGTTGTAGGTCAAGGACTAACTGTACCATACTGGCTGTGCATTTTTGACTAAGAAGCTTTGCCTCCCCCTCCCCTTCGTTTCCTCCAAAGTGAAATATTTGGGTGACTTTGTTTAGACAAACTAAATATATCATCCCTGGGATTTTGGAACAGATATAATGATGTTGCTATGTGTCTCTCTCTGGTAGTACCAGAAGGAATATAGGATTAGCTTGTAAGGATAGGGAAGGAGCATCAATTCTAAAAATAGTCTCCCTGATGTCATTTATTATCATTTATTATATTTATATGCCGCCCTTTTCCCCCGAAGGGGACTCAGAAGACAGATGTAGTTCAGAAGACAGAGGAATGCTAAAAGGGTTCCCGCATCATGGTTTCCATGGGCTGAAATTCGATTCAGAAGCCTCTAGTGAAAGCCACTGATTAATTCAAGGACCTTCAGTCAGATGTTGATGAATATGCCCCATAAATTGTCCAGCTGTTCAATCAAAACTTTGCAGAATACTGTTTGTTGGGCATGCTTCCTTCCATTAGATTAAAGGAAGTAGCAATAGCAGTTAGACTTATATACCGCTTCATAGGGCTTTCAGCCCTCTCTAAGCGGTTTACAGAGTCAGCATATCGCCCCCAACAACA